CCCGAGCCGGCGCACGGCGTGCCGAAAGGGTTTCTCGCCGTGTACGTGGAGCCCGAGCTTCGGAGGTTTATTATTCCGATGAGTTACCTTAGCGATCCGTTGTTTAAGGTGCTGCTGGCGAAAGCGGAGGAGGAGTTTGGGTTTGACCACAGCGGCGGGTTGACCATCCCGTGCGAAATCGAGACCTTTAAGTATTTGTTGCATTGCATGGAGAATCACCGGAGAGAACTGTCTCATGAAACTTAATGCACGTTGCAAAAAAAGATATGTACGTAAATGGTTTTTTTTTTTGGAGCTATATATCATCTTTTATAAAACGCAGTTTATAATTGTTTATGGACGATTGTGTGTATATTTGTTTACAAAAATGCAATTGATTTTTATGCGTTTATTTTGGGTGATTTGCACTTTGCACCCTTAATTTTTTTTTTTTACCATTTATCACCCTTCAACTGCAATTTGCTCGGCACTTTGCGCCCTACTAAACATTTTGTTTTCCACTTTTCTTCTTCAGCAATTCGGTCATCCTTTTTTTACTCAATTCGACCGTACCCTCTTCTCCATAGAAGTAGCATTTTGAGCTATGTTGAGTAGCGTTTCGAACTCGGAAAAAACATCCTAACATATCATAATACAAAAGGCATTGAAAAATATCTTCATATGCCATATCGCGTAAAACATTATTTTTCAATAATAATAATAATAAGTTAATATTTCCTTTTATTGGGCTGTCACAAAGACTTTGTGCTGATATTGGGCTGTGACCCAATTCATAGGCTGGGCCAGATCATTCTATCTGCTCAATTGTTCCAATCAAAGGTTTTTCTTTGGAATCAAATTTATATATAATATAATAATAAAAAATTCAACGACACGTGTTTGATTTCTCCTGAAAACAACATTTTTTTTGGTAAAGAGCTCGTCACACATAGTTTTTTCCAATGCGTTTTACGCCTCTTGTTCGTTACACGTTCTTCTTCAAAAGTAATACTTCATTAAATACTAAAATAATAATGGATATAGGAGGTTGTTTGATCAATTTATTCAAGAAAAACCTTATATTAATACTCATAAAGCTTATAATAAGGTATTTTTGAAAATTATAAGATGTTATATCTTGCTAAGATATGGTAGGTTGTAATTATTATTTATTTATTTAAAAGATTAATATTTAAAGCAAGTGCAGGAGGGGTATAGGCCTGAATGGCAGAGGGGTCAAAACCCTGGTTGTAGCAAATTCATATATATCCCGAAACAAGCGCTATAGCACATGCTTTCTTCATTTTTGTCATCTATTGGTTGTGATCTCTCTCTCCCTATATATATATATATATATATATATATATATATATATATATATATATATATATAAATCAAAATTTGGGCAATTTATTTATAGAAAATTTCTTAATTGTATTTCATTACATGGAATATGAATATTTATTAAATATAATTTACTATAATTTAGAAAATGT